ACTGTTTTCATTTTCAGAAGCAAATCAGCAGACCTGAGCACAAGCCGCTTGTGACACCAGTTACTTGTCCTCGTTTATCTGTTGTTGTTGTTGCTGTTAAGTGCCCTAGAGTCGGTTCTGACTTTATTGACCCTGTATAGGGTTTCTGAGGAGCAGCTGGTGAGCTTGAACCAGCTCATTAACCCACAGTGCCACACCAGGTGCTTATAGATTGAACTCCAAAGGCATGTTATATGGCGGCTAGCTGAGTGGACTCTAGTCTCAGAAAACAGCAGTTCTTGTTCATCAATGGGTAGTATGCTAGATGTTGGGTCCTGTGATAGATGTAAGCTGGCCTGGCTGGTGTGGCGCTCACTATAGGATGGTGGTGGTGATGTGCTGTGGAGTTGATTCCGACTCATAGTGACCCTGCACAGGGGTTCGGAGGCTGTAAATCTTTATGGGAGCAGAAAGACTCATCTTTCTCCCACAGAACAGCTGGTAGTTTCGAACTGCTGACCTTGCGGTTTGCAGCCCGATTTATAAACGCTACGCTACCAGAGCTCCTTCACGTCACAGTCCTGTAGTGGATAGTTCATACCACATGGTTGGCAGTTCAAACTCCCCAGCCGCTCTCTGGGAAACCCTACACAGGAAACAACAGTGAGTCAGAAAATGACTCAATGGCCCTTAACAACAGCTCATAATCGGGGACCATGGTGACTCCATACAATAAGCACTGAACTGCTAGCCACAAGGTTAGTGGTTCAAACCCTCCAGCCGCTTCTTGGAAACCCTGTTATACAGGGTCACTGTGAGTTAGAATCAACTTGAATGCAGCGGTTGGGACTTAATTGCTAAAGTTGGGTCGTTTCGGCCCTGGGATGAATGAAGCAAAATATGTCTATAAATGGTCTTATCATCTGAATCTAAGTAGTCTTCTAGACAGTCTAGCTATTTAGCGTGCCATGGCCCTGCACCTGGCTGCTGTCCCCTTCTCCAGGGAACATTGGGAAGTGTGCTTGGGACTACCTGTATGGAGTAATTGGACTCGGAGATGTGAAACATTCTGCCGAGCTTGTGGTCGTCCTGCAGAATGAATATTTGTGCTGCCCAGTGAGACACCACAGAGCAATGGCTGCTCATGTGACACACACACCCATGAGCTTACAGCAGGCCAGCATCGAGCGTTGCCAGGGGATGTGCTGTGTTACATTTCATGAATGCTCCTAGCTCAACTTCTACATAGAGACTGGAGATGTATACCACATATGAACAGACACATGTATTGATTTTTAAAAAACTAGTTGATTTGATCATTTAGCGGCATCTCTTACAATAAGGAGCTCTACTAGCATAGTGGTTACGAATCATGCAGCTAACCGCAAGGTCAACAGTTTGAAACTACCAGCTGTTCCGCGGGAGAAAGATGAGGTTTTCTGCTCCCGTAAAGATTTGCAGCCTTGGAAACCCTGTGCAGGGTCACTATGAGTCGGAACCGACTCCACAGTACTTAACAACAACAACCTTACAATAAGAATGAATTACTCTCTGTTACTGGCCACTGCTTTCTATTATCACTGCTGTTAAGTCAGCAGGCCCCGTAGGGTTCCTAGGCTGTACGTCTTCAGACTGCCTCATCTTTCCAAAGCCGAGGTGGGTTTGAACTGCAGACTAGCAGTTAGCAGCCTAACCCATAGCCTCTACATCATCAGAGTTCCTTTGCTTCCTACAAACCAAAAAAAACCCAAACTCACTGCTATCGAGTTGCTTCCATCTATAGCGACCCTATTATAGGACAAGATAGGAGTGTTCCTGAGGGTTTCTGAGGCTGTCCATCTTTACGGGAGCAGACAGCTTCTTCTTTCTCCCGAGGTTAGAACCACCTACCTTGTGGTTAGCAGCCCAACATGTAACTCACCACACCACCAGGGGTCCTTATGTTGTTAAGTGCCAGCCAGCCAGTCAGTTCTGACCCATAGCAACCCTGTATAAGGTTTCTGATGAGCAACTGTGATGGGTTTGAACTGTCAGCCTTGTAGTTAGCAGTCCAGTGCATATTCCACAGTGCCACACTGGGACTCCAGCTAGGCCTAATTTCATGGATTACGGGACAACCTGATGGCATCATTCATGTTTCAGCTTGATCTTTGTCTGCGGCTGTGTACCTGTGTACCGTAGTACTGAATCATTTCCCATGTGTCGAACATATGTAAAGCATTTGTAGACAGACCTAACCAACTAAAACTTAACAAAATGATTTGTATTAGCTATGTAAACTTGGACCCAAATAATAATAAAAAGTTTAAAAAAAAGGCTAATGGTGGTACCCAGTTTTGAAGTAGTTCACGTCCTATATAATTATTAGGTTGTCATGTCCAACTTCAGAACAAGTGTTCATTTACTTGTTGGTGGCCTTTTTAAAGAGTTGAGTGAATTGAGTGAAGAACATGAACTGGATTCAGAACCTTATAGTTGTCTGTTGTAAATCCCTGTTAGGATCCCTGGTAGTGTAGTGAGTTATGCATTGTGCTGTTAACCACAAAGTCAGCAGTTTGAATCCACCAGTCACATCTTCGGAGAAAGATGAAGATTTCTGCTCCCGTAAAGATTTACTGCCTCGGAAGTGCACTATGAGTCAGAACCAACTTGAACACAGGAGCTGTAAATTCTTCGTCATCATTTTGCAAAATGGTTTCTGTGGGCCCTTCTTTTATGTCCATTATCATCCTTGGTACGAATCGAGCTGCGAACCTTAAGGTCAGCGGTTCGAAACTACCAGCCGCTCCACGGGAGAAAGATGAGGCTTTCTACTCCCGTAAAGATTTACACCCTCGGAAACCCTGTACAGGGTCGCTATGGGTCGGAACCGACTCGCACTTAACAACAACAACAACATCATCCTTGGAGAAAGAGGAGACTTTCTGCTCCCGTAAAGATTTGTTGTTGTTAAGTGCCATGATGTTGGTTCTGACAGCAACCCTGTACAGGGTTTTCAAGGAGCAGAGGGTCAAACCAGCCTTGAGGTTGAGTGCTTATGATAACACCTCACAGTCTCTGAAGACCTGTGTAGCTAGAGGCACTGTGAGTCAGAACCCACTCGATGGCGGTTTTAGGGTTTTTGCGTGGAGTCTGGTATTCTTATTTGTTGGTCCTAGTTGGTTGGGCCCCTCTGAGCCCCTTCCACTCCAGTCTTGCCGGAGTGTGCGATGTCATTGTTGGCCTGTGAGTATGTCATTTGGAGCTGCGCTTGTTACTGGAACATTTGACTTTGGGACTGGTTTCTCCATCTCTAATATGTGCCCTTGGAGCCAAGATGGAGATGAGAGCCTTGATTTATTTTAAGCTTCACGGCAGCCATTTTGTGGGTTTTGTTTTTTAAATAACTCTTTGCCAACAGGAAATGAAAGATGCTAGCATTCTTATATTTTAATAAGATGGAAGACGTCTTCAATGTCTTAGTCTTGTTTCTCAGTAAACTTTAGTTCTTTACATTGTGGTCTTGGGATTGGGGAAAACTTTCTTGACCTTCTGGAAAATTGTGTTCCCTTTCTTTGTATTTTATCAGTCAGAGAAGCTGTCAGACATACCAGAGGGCGTAACTGTTTAGGTCAGGTGGGGCGGTGAGGGGAAAATGTTTGATACAGACTAGTTTCTAGTTTGGTTCCTCAGGAGGAAACTAACATTGGTCGTGTGCTTAACATGAGGCCTGCCCCAGACCTCGGTCAGCTAGGTGTGAGCGAAGTCAGCCTGCGTCGGGAATACTTAGGAGACATGTCTGTCTAGTGTTTTACTTGAAAAATGGCCAGAGAAGCAAGCCTTAGAGCTGGCATTAAGCCTTACAGTTGCTTTGTGCCTGGTCGGCAGACTTCAGTGTTTTTCAGATGCAAATCAACCTGCGTTTTCTGAAATGACAAATTTGAAAATTACCTCAAGTTTGGATTTCTTTTCTGAAACAAAATCTCTACGTGGCAGCAGGAGAAGCATTTTTAAAGCCTTCCCATCGCCATCAAAAAGCTTTGGTGGTTATGAGTCAGGCTGCTAACCTCAAGGTCAGCAGTTCAAAACTACCAGCTGTTCTGTGGGAGAAAGATAAGGCTTTCTGGTCTTGTAAAGATTTACAGCCTTGGAAAGCCGATACAGAGTCACTATGAGTTGGAAGCAACTCCACGGCACACCATCATCACCACCAAGCAAATCCTGCTGTGCCTTTTTTCACATTATTTTCATCTCATGGTCTAGCTTTGTTGTTGATGTTGTTAAGTGCCATTGAGTTGGTTCTGACTCATAGCGACCCTGAAAATAGAGTTTTCAAGGAGTGACTGGTGGGTTTGAACTGCCGACCTTATGGTCAGCAGTCCAGTGATTCTGCAGCATCACACCAGGTCTCCTGGTTCTCACATGTTTGCATTGATAAAGTGTGCGCCCCATTTTGAGTATCTTGTTTTTGATTGTAGAAGCGATTTCCACTGCTTTCATAATGATCATTCTAAATTGCACCATAGCATTCTGTGTTCTCAATGTGTCATTTACTCATTCTCTCTTCATTCTTCAGATTGTTTCTAAGGTTGCTATAAACATTCTGGTTTCTAGATCCCTATCTCTTCTTCTCACTTGCTGGCTTAGTATGAATTCTCAGGAAGTGAAATAAACCAGGTTGAAGAGCATGGAAAGTCTGGCTTTCACGATGCAGTCTTGTTCTGAGTTGTTGAGGCCAGCCCTCCTTCCACTGCAGCCTCTCGAGCCCTGCCTGCCTCGCTAGATTGTTCAGATTAAACGACATGGATGGAGAGTGGAAAAAACACATTCACAGTTATCAATGTACTTTTGTGGGAAAACAGCTTAGACTTAAGTGAAATGTGCTTTATTAAAAGTAAAGAGTACCAAGCGTGTGTGTACATGAGAGAGAGAGAAAGTGTGTATTTTGTTACTCACAAGAGAAGGGAGCTTACTATTACTGTCCTGCCACCTGGCTTCTCAGGAGCTTGTCTGACTCATCTTGGCCTCTTTTCCAGATCAATGTCCGGGTCACCACCATGGATGCAGAGCTGGAGTTCGCCATCCAGCCAAACACCACTGGGAAGCAGCTTTTCGATCAGGTCAGTCGCTGGGAACTTCACTGAGATGGTTTGTTTGCTAACCAGATTTCCCTGATAGACCAACCCCATTACCACTGAGTGAATTACACCTCATAGCGACCCTGTAGGACCTGCTAGACTTGCCCCACCCCATAGGGGTTTCTAGTCTTTACAGAATCAGACGGCCACATCTCTCTCCCATAGAGCCATTGGTTGGTGGACTCAAACCACCAACGTTTTTGTTAACAGCCAAGTAGTTAACCACTGTACCACTAGGGACACATTCCCCCACCTCCAATGAGAAGGATTCAAAACGTTGCAAGCATGCCTGGGAGATGTGGGGGTAGCCCCTGCTTACAGCTGTGTCTTCTGACTGATGGTGATCTCATGTGTATCAGAGAAGAATGACTCCATAGCATTTTCAGCAGCCAGTTTGGGCCATTGAACCCCCAAACTTTCAGTTAGAGAAGTCAAGCTTGCTAACTATTTGCAGCATCCAGGGGCCCCCTAGTTAGTTCACCTGGCTGTGCACAGCAGCAGATGCGCATGTAGCTAAGGATCTTAGTGGAAACTGAGGGCAGAGTTCATGGTGTCAGCCACGTGATGGTTGCGGCTGCTCTGGGTTCGCATCTACCCTCAGGGTAAAACTCGCCTCAGCTGAGGGGGGAAGTCTTCGTGCTCAGTGGGAGATGGGTTTCTGGTTCTAGCTGATCAGATACTAGAACAGCTGTGAAAAGCAGAAATGTAGAGCAGGATGTAGGGCAACATTTTAAGATCAGAAGATTTTTCTTCAGTATGATTAATGTTACGTATTTTCATATGCATGAATATTTTTATTTCTAGTGGTTTATTACATATGCCCGTTCCCCTGCCCCCACTGCAAATCTTGTCTTAATTTTCAAATCTTTTCCCCATTTGAAGAATGACTAGAAACCACTCACTTGCTTTTATTTGCCTTTGTTGTCAGTGCTTTATGTCACAGGTCAGCACATTTTTTCCCCTATAAAGTCCAGAAAGTCAGTATTTTGGGTTCCCAGGCCACACAGCTGCTTGACTTGGCCGCTGTTGAGCAGAAGCTGCTGTAGACAATCTATGAGCAGATAGTCATGGCTGGGTGCCAGGCAAACTGTATTTGTGCACATTCTTAACATGATTGTCCCCTCAACTGTTTACCAACGTAGAACCCATTCTAACCCTTGAAAACAGTCAGAGGCTAGAGGTGACTCTGGCCTGCGGGCCCACCCCCATCTCTGTAAGCGTCTCTTCTCTACCAAACCTACTGCCCTCAAACCCATTACCACTTAAAGCCACCCCATAGGACAGCACAACTGCCCCACAGGGATTTACTGAGGAGTGACTGGTGGATTTGAACCATCAACTTTGGTTAGCAGCCCCATACTTGACCCACTGCATCACTGTGGTAGTGGTGTGCCGTGGAGTCAGTTCTGAGGCTGTAAATCTTTACGGGAGCAGAAAGCTTCATCTTTTTCCTGCGGAGCAGCTGGTAATTTCGAACTGTTGACCTTGAGGTTAGCAGCCCAATTCGTAAGCGCTACACTACCAGAGCTAGGGCTCGCCTTTTCTGTAGCTCAGACAAAACCAGAATAACGTGTGTAGCCAGGGCAGGTGTGGCAGTGAGAGGTGCTGCTCACGCCCTGAGCACGTCCTCAGCACGTGGGGTCGGTAGGTTCTGTGGTCGTACCTCTTTCTTCTGGTTTTGTACTTCTGCAGTGTTTCCTGTTCTTTCTTCACAGACTGCTTGAGCTGTTCAGCTCCACTAGACAAATCTCAAACATGCACTTTAGTTTTACCTTTTCATTGTGATTTTTTACAGAACCAATTGGGTCTCCATTCACCAATTCATAGATGGCAGTCTCGCACTTCCTCTCTCCGTTTATCATTTCCACTAGCCCTTCTCTCCTGTGCCTTCCTGCCTCCTGAGCTGTAACCCCCTGGCCTGGGCATGGTGTACATCACTGGTGAAAGGGTTTTCAAACATATTTAAAGGACTCCTTGAGGTCGAAATTGGGCCAAAGCCATTAAGCGTCCCAAAAGTAGTTTTACTTTTGATTGTATAAGAAGCATAGGTCCTTGGGCGTTGCAATCCCTGTCACAAAACAAAATGTATATGAATTGTTGGCTGGAAAAAAATTCTGTAAACTTTATCCAAATCACAATTAAGGAAAAAGGAACTGTAAACCCCCCACCCATTCCATGTTGCTCTACTTGATGAGCTGGGTGGGACAGGGAGATGGTGTTGGAGAGAGAGCAGCATGCCCGTGGGTTTTCAGCCCATCCTTCAGGGTCTTGGGCACCCCTCCACACCAGCAACAGCAAGCTCATCTGTGTTATCCAAGTCTCTCCTTCCTGGGCAACACAAAACACTGACATTCCTGCGTGCTTCTTGAAGCATGATGGTGAATGGCAGAGGGCTTTCCTAAGCATGGAGCCCCGTGAAGGCAGTGGTAGCTTTTCCAGGGAACAGTCCAGGGTGTTTAAAGCAAGCATACCAACACCTCTGGGCCAGGGAGGCTCTGCTCTGGGGCCAGGACCCAGAGGAGACAGACCAGCCATGAGCTGACAGCCTGGAAATGTGAGGACACCTGAGTGGTGCCTAGAAGGAAAGTTGGAGTTGAGTTTTAGCAAGTTTATAAGCTCTTCCCAGGTTTGCTCACACCGCCTGTCTCCTGGCAAGGCGCTCCCAGTTGAGACCCCCAGGAAATGGGCCAGCCCTCTGCAGCTGCCCCATCAGCCACCCCAAGAAGAAGTGCTGCTAGTTTGAACTGAGGTCAGGCCCTGGGGGGAGAAGGGGGTGTCTTACCCACTAAGGGTCAGAAACTTGCTGCTCTGGAGGAGTCTTTCCTGAGACCAGCTCCTGAGCGGAGCTACGAGCATGGAGATGGGAGCTCCGAACCTGGCGCTCGCTCTGCCCTTCCTGTGTCTGCAGGGCCCGTCTCTGAGTGAGTGGCGGGCCTCTGCAGGCCACAGGGATCTCTTCAGGCTCATTTTGAAAAAGGTGGAAAACGCTACGTTACGGTAACTGAAAACTAAACAAGGACAGTCATGGACGAGTGTTACTGGATCCATTTTCCACATTTCTCCATTTTCTATATTCTCTACACCTGTTGCTTGCAGAGATGCTATGAAGAGGCTTTTTTAAAGGAATTTGTAATACCAGGGCTTTATAAATACAAGGGGCCTTCAAAAGAGCATGTGGAAAAATGGAATAGATAATGGAATTTTTCCATGAACTTTTTCAAGTCCCTTGTATTTTTGTGGGAAGGTCTAAATATTGTAGCTTCTTGCAAGAAGGATCTTTTCTCTGTTCCTTGCTGGGGCTCGATGGCAGGGCCAGGAGTGGAGAAAGCCACCTAGAGGCTCGCCATGTACTCTGAGCTAGATACGGGTGTTCCAGGTGTCAGGAACTTGAACCTCGTCCTTCTCCGCCTGTGTTGGGCGCTGGGCTGCATACCTTCACCAGATTCCCTCAGTGTCTGGATTCCAAGGCACCGTTATCGATTGTTGTTGTTGTGAAGTGCCGTGGAGTCGATAGAGCGCCACATATTCCTAAATGCTGAAGGATGGTTTTTTCTATGTTAGCGTTTGTGTTGGTTTCAAGCCTGGCATTTTTCTAGTTTTAGATGGGGAATGGAGCTGCGGGCTAATCATGTACAAAAATGAACCCAGAACCCACTCACTATCAGTCATTGTGGCCAATTTAAACAACGACAAAAAAGCTAAACCCATAAATGTGTAGTCAACAAATCTTGAGAAGTTCTGAATGTAGGTTATTCCAGAGCTCTTTAACCTCCCACCAACCACCCTGGTAGAGCAGTACATTTCTGTCCCCACTCCCCAGAAGGCAAGGTGCTGCAGAATGAATTCACTAGAGCTAGAGCGAACACAGCTCCCAACCTCCTGTTAGTCACCAGTCCCAAGTTGTCCTTCTATCTAAACTTCAATGCCAAGACTCCACCACCAATCAGATTTAAGAATGGGAACTGTCCTGGACAAGGAGGTTCTGCCTGTTCCCGCCCCTCCTTCTCCCCTTCCCTGTTCCCTCTTGTCTCCCTTCAGTGATGAGACTTTGCACATCACTAATGAAAAACACTTCGTAGTCTTGAGGACATAAATGTTGGAACAGACCTTGAAGATTCCTTGACCCCAATACGTGTGTAATGGGTGAGGAAGGTGAGACTCGTTGACATTTTGAGTCTTGCCACGATCATGCAACTATTGTGAAGTGCCGTTGAGTCGTTTCCAACTCAGTGACCCTGTATAGGGTTTCTGAGGGGCGGCTGGTGGGTTTGAGCTGCTAACCCTAGTGGTTAGCAGTTCAGTGCTTATTACACAGCATCACACAGTGCCATACAGCTGGCTCTTTGAACTCTAGTTACAGTGGTCTTTTGGGGCGATGCATCTGTTTATCCAGGGTGCAGGGTGTGAAGAGAGATGCCTCCTACCTCCTGTGACTGGGCGTCGCCCTTTGCAATGCGGCTGTGATTAATGAGGCCTCTTCCGGGGCTCTCCTCCTGTCTACCCTCAACCAGGCTGAGAATGTTTTCTTGTGACTCCCAAGCCCCACCCCAACTTGGAATCCTGGCACACTGACGATCTATCGAAGGGCATCTAGTGACTGGGTCCAGTCTAGTGCACTGATTTGACAGATGGGGTCAGATGGCCAGGACAGAGCCGGGATGGCAGCACAGACAGATATTACAGGTCTCACAGGAGCAAGCTTGGCCCATTCCCAGAGACCCTGGCAGGGGAAGGAGCGAGTCCGTGTACTTACGGTTCCCAGCTCAGAAAGGGTTTGCCAGCAGCTGCTTGAGATGAGCAGGGTAGCCGCCTTGCCTGCTTTTCTCCTTTGCAGGTTTTTGCAGTGTAAGCCATCACGGGGCAGAGACACGGGAGTAGTCCTACACCTGTTCAGGTTCTTCTTCCATTGGGTGAAGCCAAGGAAATGGAAACGCGCAGTTAGGAGCATTTTTCTAAGAACGCCAGAGTATCCCTCTGAGGGAAGACTTCCGGGCTGGTTTTTGCTATTCGGTGCCTTTGAGTTGATTCCAACTCATAGGGTTTCCGAGGAGCGGCTAGTGAATTTATTTGAACCACCAACCTTGCAGCGCAGTGCATTATCCCACAGCACCATACTAGAACCAACTAAGGAAAAGTTGTCCACTTCTAAAGTGTCATTTTAGAGAGGCAGTAGGGAAGAAGTGGGACCAGAAAAGGGACCCTGAGGAGGTTTACAATCGAGGAGTACTACACTAGGATCGGTGCAGTAAGGCCCTGAGGTTGGGCAGGGCAGCCAGCTCCAGCTATAGAGGGTAGACCACAGAATGTTCCAGTGATTCCAACGAAGAGAACTGACCGCATCATGGTGCAGTGAGGAGACAGTCTGGGCTGTGGTCTGGCAGGAAAGGAAGAAGGACGCCCAGTGGGCAGGAAGAGGGGGACTGGAAGAGCAAGTGAAAGCTGCAGCTGGCTGACGTGGAGGCTCCATGGGAGAAGTAGGCAGCCCAAGTACTTGAGGACGTTCTGTAGAGGCTAGGAAGGGCCCCAAGAGGGGACAGCAAGGCCGCTTTGTGGGGAAGAAGAAGAAAGCAGAACAGGATTGAAACCCGGCCTTTGAATTCCACTTTCTCTGTTTCCAAAACCCTGTCCATCCCCACTCACAGCCGCTCTCTAGGACAGAGCAGACCTGCCCTCTAGGGGGCGTTCTAAGATTGTCATCTTTATGGAAGGAGACTGCCTCTTCTCCTGTGGAGCAGCTGGTGGGTTCGAACCACTGACCAGTTAGTAGCCCAGTGCTTAACTTCTGTGTCACCAGTGTTCCTTTCTCTACATTTGTTGTTAAATGCTGTTGATTCTGACCCATAACAACCCTGTATCAGATTTCCAACGAGTGACTGGTGAGCTTGAACCCCCGTCGTCTGTGAGATTCCATTGACTTTGCAGTCCGGTGCATTAACCCGCAGCGCCACACAGGACTCCTCTACATTTAGCTACTGTACAAGTATAACACGGCTTCACTATAGAGTTTGGAGTTAAACTCTGTAAAAAGCCAGCTTTTCTTTCATAACTGAGTGGAGGAGCGTAGCTTTAGTGGTTTTATTTTATTTTATTTTTTCTTTCTCCCTCTTGGTGTGTGTGGGAGGGGGGGATGAACAGGTCTGGCTTTGGCATTTTTGGCATTTAGTAAACATTTGCCTAGGGCTTTAGCAGGCCTCCCCACCCTACCCTGGGGGATGAGGAAGTGCTCCCCCCAGGAGCTCCTTTGGAATTTCAGATTTTACTTCCTACAGCAGGCCTGAAGGTCATTTCTAGAACATTCTCTCCTTTTTCTTACACTTTAAGAAACCAAGCACTTGGAGCTTTAGCATTCAGCGTAGTAGTTACGAATGGGGCTGCTGCAAGCCTCAAGGTTAGCAGTTCAAAACTACCAGCCATTCTGCGGGAGAAAGAAAGATAAGGCTTTCTGCTTTTCTGCTCCCATAAAGATTTACAGCCTTGGAAAACCCTGTACAGGGTCGCTATGAGTCAGAACCGACTCCACTGCACATGACCACCATCACCATCATGGCATGTAAAGTTAAGCACCAAAGCCCTGGTCCTCAGTTTTGTTTGGTTGAGTGCCCCTAGTGGGCCCTTGCAGCACTAGTGTTCCAACCCCAGTACTGTCCCGAGAGCACAGGCGGACGCTTTCTCCACCATGGACCAGCAGAGACTCTAGAACATTGGATGCCTGAAACCTAGAGCTGCTAGGAGCCAGAGCTGCCATTTCACCCTTTCCTGTATCCAAATTTCAGACACCAGTCTCCTCCCTTTGGACTCTGGTGTGGCACTGTAGGATCAGCACTGCACTGAGAACCACAAGGTCAGCAGTTCAAACTCCCCAGCTGCTCCTAGGAAACCCTATATTAGGTCGCTATGAATCAGAATCGACAACAAGAATCTCCCCTTGGCAAAAGTGAAGCCCAGAACTCCACTCCCCGACCCCTCCCATTGCCAGTCTTCCCACCCAGGAAGCTTGCCACCAACCACTTCCTGCCTCCCCTGGGCCCTTCTCCTCCTGTGCACGATAACTCAGATTCCCTGCTGACTGGCTGAAGAGCAGGGTCACAAGGCTCGTTTACTTTGCCTTGGTCGACCCCCTTTTCAAGGTGTGCACACCTGAGGTGACATTTCTCTGGACGCTCACTTCCCTGTGTGCTGGGAAGAGCAGCAGTGATTTTATACAGACAACCCTGAACCCACTGAAATTCATATAAAAGTCAATCATTCACAACTTTGGCCTAATGGTCATTGTTGGTAATAAGTTACTTGAGACAGCATTCCACTAAGTTCTGGGACAACTGGACCATGTGGACCGTGCTATGTGCGGACAGCCATGGGGGGTTGTGCACGTCCAAGGGACTCACTCATGATCTTTATGGCTTCTCTCTCTCTCCCTCCCTTCGTCTCAGGTGGTTAAGACTATTGGCCTACGGGAAGTGTGGTACTTTGGTCTCCAGTATGTGGATAATAAAGGATTTCCTACTTGGTTGAAACTTGATAAAAAGGTAAGTCAGTGTTAACTATTGACAGGCTGTTAGCTGGGCGTTGGTCCACCGTTAACATTGAAACTCAAGCGCCTTCACTCGCTTTTGCTTTTCGTTCCTTTTTATTTGTGTAAAAGTAGGAACTAAAAGTGCTGTGGTTTCCAGTAAGTGGGGGGATTGGTGGAGAATGAGCCCCTGGCATGCACTGCTTACTCGTGTACAGGTTTGCTGAACTTCTCATTGGTTTTAGTTGTTTTTTTTCCTTCTCCATTCAGTGAGATTGTTAATCTTCTAAACCACAAATCATCCACTCTTCTGTAGGAGCCCGTCACTGCTCTGTTTGAACCTGTGGCAGATTATCTTCCAGTTCTAAAGATTGGATCCTGCCAAATAGCAATCCCAATGAAAAGCAAGAGAGTAAATGTATTTCATGAAAGAGAAATCCCTTTTAGTCACCCCATGTTACTGGAACAAGCCAGCAGAGCAGTTTAGGATGTGGGAATGAGGGGTTTCTCGAAGTAGTTTCTGTGGCCATGTGAACAGATTCCAGATCCCAGGGTGTTAGCTGAGGTTGGTTCTGAATTCGGATTTCTCTGGAATTGATGGCATGGACCCTAGAAACAGGAGTGGGGGGCACCTAGTGGCTGTAGCTGGACCGACTCACTCCTTGTGTGCATACTGGAAAGGCTGCTCGGGGGGGGGGTAAACAGAACCCTGTCCAGTTGGCAGTCAGGACGTGTCGCTAGGTCTGAACGCCAGTCTGGTGCCTGTGTGTGGTCCAGGTGTCTGCCCAGGAGCTCAGGAAGGAGAACCCCCTGCAATTCAAGTTCCGTGCCAAGTTCTACCCGGAGGACGTGTCCGAGGAGCTCATCCAAGACATCACGCAGAAGCTTTTCTTTCTCCAAGTGAAGGACGGGATTCTGAGCGACGAGATTTACTGTCCCCCGGAGACGGCAGTGCTCCTGGGCTCCTACGCCGTGCAGGCCAAGTTCGGAGACTACAACAAAGAGATGCACAAGTCTGGGTACCTCAACTCCGAGCGCTTGATCCCCCAAAGGTGAGCAGAGGTGTCCAGTGCTCTGGCCCAGCACCCCTGTTCCCTGGGGCCGCTGGTGATGGTGCTGAACATTCTAGTAACACTACCTGGGAGGCCTTTGCTCCTGGACAATGTGAGTGACGTCACAACATCAAGCTGCTTGTGTTCTGGCTGTAGTTCTTCCTGGGGTGGAGACTGCCCCCACCCCCGCCACCTGCGTCCCCACCCCAACCTGCTTCTATTCACGAACCTCCCTTTTTGGGAGGAGGAGGAAACCTGCTTGCCTTTGAATCAACTCTGACTCATGGCAACTCCATCCATGTCTGTTAGGTTTTCAGGGCTGATTTTTGGGGGGATGTTAAGCACCTAGCCTTTGTTCCACAGCACCTCTCGGCAGCATTAAGCGCTCCCCATCCCCCCACCCCCCGACTTCTGGTTAGCAGGCGAACACGTTAACCATTTGTACCACCTCTTTTGGGAGCAGAGGCCCCTCAAGTGAAATACCTTTGTTCTTATCTTCTCAAACAGGACTGGGGTTTGGCCTTGTTAAATTCTAACCCTTCCTGGTTAGGTAGGAAAATAGCAGGGGTGCTTCCCATTACAGGCGGGGCCACAGCACTGGACGATAGGAGGGTTCCCTCTGAGCCAGGAACCTGTGTGTGGGTGACATGGGGGTGCCCTCCCTGATGACATGTGCTCTGCTTCTGCTCCCAGAGTGATGGACCAGCACAAGCTCACACGGGACCAGTGGGAGGACCGCATCCAGGTGTGGCATGCTGAGCACCGAGGGATGCTCAGGTGAGCATCGAGGACTGCATCTTCCTGTCATGTGACTCCACTCACTGTGAGGGAAGCTGCGTTGGTCGGTGTTGGGAGCAAATTCTTAGTGTCTAAAGTCAGGTGCTCGTGCTTGGGGTGAGAAGCGACTTAATTTAAGCCTGCAGGTTCCAAGAGCTTTCGCCCTTCCTTGTTTTAGGGGAGAGAAGGTCTGTGTGTTTACTTTTAGTCACAGAAGTGACCAGATTGTCTTTTCTCTGTCAGACGCTGGTCTGCTCTTTGTAAGGTAGTCACCTTCAGAAGTACGCATAAACAAGCTGTCCTTGATGAGAAATGCTGATACAAAAGAAACAGACACAGGCGTGATGTGGGGGAGTATACAACAACATAGCAAGGGAAACCTCAGACTTCCTAGTGCTGGGCGGTGGTGTTCAGAGCCCCTTGTCGCAATTTCTCAAGCGTTTTGCCCTTTAGAGTTTCCTGTCTGACCCAGGCACCCTTTGTGAAGGGGAATTAGCACAGAGTGCAAGATGATGGTGACAGGTCTAGGGGCTGGTGGGAGCCCCTGAAAGCGTTCATAGGCCTGAGAAATACCGTACCTCATGCTGATACTTACCAGCCAAATATTCTGTATCCAGAGAAACTGGTGTGGGCCAGTCAGCACTTTGCTTTTGTCGCAATCTCTGCACACAGTGTTCAGTGGTTAGATTCTTTACCACACAGGTAAACAGCGCATATTTCCATTCTGGTTGTTCCGTTTTCGTCTAGTTTCCCTGCACCCACCTCCCATATTGTCATGTTTTAAAGTGCCATTTGTTTTCAGTTTAGACTGTTGCTGGAAGATTTCTTGTTCATCACTAATGATCACTCCCATTCATCTCTCCCCAACTAGAGACAGTGCCATGTTGGAATACCTGAAGATCGCTCAGGACCTGGAGATGTATGGAATCAACTATTTTGAGATCAAAAACAAAAAAGGAACAGACCTTTGGCTTGGAGTTGATGCCCTGGGGCTGAACATTTATGAGAAAGACGATAAGTGAGTTGAAACTTGATAATTCAATCTTGTTGGTCAGGTAGAGGCCGGGGAAACTGGCGTACCTGCACGTAGGTTACTTTTTCAGTCTTCGTTGAGCAATTTATTGGCCCAAGATGTGATTATGACGGGCCCCAGACAGGGTCCAGTAATTCCTGTAGCCTCATGGGAAATGACACCTGAGGGCCAGCCGGGGGAATGTGTCAGGGCCCTCGCAGGGTCTGAAGCAGATGTCAGAAAGTTTGTAAGGGTTTCAGCTGGGGAAGCACACAGCTTCCTCAGCCCACTCTCCTTCCGCCTTCCGTAAGGCCCTGGTCCCTGTGCCTGCTGGCCCACAGGTCCCACCCAGACCCCTCCCTTGGGGCCTGAAACTTGTGCTAATTCAACCAAGGAAATGCATAGGTTGTCGGAGACGTGGTTGTCTTGGTGTACACACAGCTTACCTGGATTTTCTGAGCTTTCAGAAGGGATCTCAGTGGTCCACGTTGGTGGTCTTCAGAATGTGGAGCACAGAAGCACTGAGGCAGGCTGGGTGGGGGCCCTCTACACCCAACTTGTCCTCCACTGCCCACCTACCGCTTAGCTAGTTATAGGCATTTACGCGTCTTTTTCCTGCTGAGGAGCCTAGAGAGCCAGTTGTCATGAGTCTGCCAGAGCTTTGGCTTTTTTTATTCCAGTGGCTTATTTATTTTGTTTTTTTCTTTTTGTCAGTAGAACACCGGGCTTTCTTCTGAAGTAACTCTGAGTAGGCTGATGAGATCCCCTACTTTTCAGTCAGCTGCCAAGCACATAACCATTTGCACCTCCCAGGGACCCCCAAAGAGCTCAATACACACACAGGTTACCCCAATTCAGGGAAGGCAGTGAAGAATTTTCCTTGAGGAGGGCTGGGGAGGTCCATGCTTTTTCTGAGAGGAAAACCTCGATTTTAAAGACTTCCAATCAGAACCGATTGAATTTATTTAAAAGGCAGCTGTGGAAGGAAGCTCCCAGCATCTGTTGGTGAAGAAGCCAGGAGCCACTCCACTGGGGAAGCAGGGCCTGGGTCCAGCCTCTGAGGACAGCACACGAGCCCGGGCAGGCCCCCTTCCCCAGGCCCAGCCTGTGGTTCCCCCACACTTCCTGTCTGCCACACCCTCCTCACCCCACCTCATCTCATGTTACTGCACACAGCTTCCCACACCCCAGACTCTTAGGCGCCCCCTTTCTGGAAGCAGAGGAATGGAACTGCTTTCCACAAGTGCTCATGAAGGATCTATTGCTTGTCCCAGCCAAGTATCCTCTTGCCAAGCCCAAAGCACCGTTTGTCAGGGTTTTTGGGTTTAATGGACCCACAGTGAACAGATGCTGAAGGTCTTCAATGGGTCTCGTTGGAGGAGTGGCTGAGGTGATGGCCAAGTTCCTCTTTCCCAGACATTGCTGCCGCTCTTATTTCAACCCTTAGCACCCCCATGTGTTCCAGACTGGAACTGCCCTCTAGGCTTTCAAGGCAGTGACCTTTCACAAATGCCCAGGCCAATCTGCTGAAGGAGCTCTTGACTTTGAACTCTCAGCCTTTCAGTCAGTAGTTAGTTGAGCATTTCACTGTTTAGCCACCCAGGCATGTGACCTAGTGATGTGGTCCTTCTTCCAAGGATCAAGGCTGGGAAATACTAAGAACTCTCAACTCAGATTCTAGTTCTCTCGTCAAAGCCAAGCAGAGAACGGCAGCCTGTTAGCACAGGAGTGCACATGGTGTAGAACGCGCCACATCCCCACGCAGGACCATCTGTGGGAACCCGCCCCATCTCTGCACCAGATTCTTGAATGACCGTGTAACATGGCCAAGGTGAGGCCCTCCTAAACAGGTTTTTCAAGCTGCAAGCCTCAGCCATAGACGGGAACCTGCTGACGTCAGCTCGCCACTGTCTCCAGCCCACAGAAACGTTCACTCTTTCCAAGTAAAGCTGCAGCTCTCGCCCCGTTCACTCTGTCTCCACCCCTGTTCTCCTCTCCTCGTGTAGCCATGGAACAGGTACTTTTCCAATAGGTTTGCTCCCAAAAGAAAATGCTGGGAAGCTGAGCACGCTGCCCTCCCTGCCTTCGCTCCTTTTCGCTGAAGGCACCCTTTCCAGTTAAGCCACAGTGGACCCTGTGTTTCTTGGAGGTCTCTGTGTGTGGTGGCATCCGTCTTCCCTGAGTCTAGGCAGTTCCCAGTGCAGGGACCGGACCCTGGGTCCAAAAGACATACTCTGTTTCTGGCTCAGGCAATGAACAGTTTTTTCCTTCTGAGCAAATGTTGCAATTTGTTTTCCAGCACAGCCAGGAAATGAGAACTTGAGTGTGGCAAATACTGTGCTGAATGTTGGGTTGTCAGAGTGGAGAGAGATTGCTGATTCACTGCTCCTTTAAGAAACTGCATCGAGTGAGTGTGTGCGCTGATATAGGGAACCAGGCCAAGAAATATTCCTTGGTTTTGCTGAGTGCCTGTCCCCTTCTTGGTGCTCGAGTCATCTGACTGAGAAATGCCTCGCTGGTCCCTATTTCATTGGACGGAGAGACAGGCAGGTACCCTCCCAGGTGGGCGTTTGGAGCCCAATACTGCCCCCACATTCTGTGTCCTGTGCACTTGTCTTCAGCTGCTTCACTCCTTTATAGAACTGTTTCCAAAGTAAGAGTTTGTGGAGCTGCCCTGGGTTGGAGCTGCCCTGGGTTCCCACAGGCTGTTTCATGAACCTTTTCAGGGAAGAGATGCTGTGAGGACCAGAGGGGAGTGGAAACAAGAGCTTGAGCTCCTTTGGGGAGACACTTTTGACACTCTGTAAATGTCCTGTTTCTTCCTTTTTTAACTCATCTATTCTACCATTCATTGAGAGAAGTCTTGCTTAATTAACAATTACTGCGATTTTTTTTTTTTCCTCATCAGCCCTTCGTTTGAAATACTTGGTCATATTACTATAGACTCACAAATTTATGTTATTCTATGGCTTTAATCTATTATTGTTTGAGGCTGGCCCTCAGCAGCCTTTCCAGGTGGCCACTGACCCCTCAGCAAGACTTCTATGTTCCCTGAGCACTCCTCCCCCAACTTTCTAGCACCCAAGATGTTCTGGCACCATCTGGCACTTTCTCCTGCAGTCCCAGACTCCACCATTCCTCCAGAGAGCTCTGGTTCTGCAGAATTTGTTCCATGTGTGGCTAAGCAAGGCCAGCCAGAATGTCTTCCCTGTGACTCCTGTTCACGTCTTACATGTGAACTGTTCACTGAAAAGACAAGAGAGGGATTGTTTGTAGCCCTTGGCATTCCGACAGAGGTCAAGCACGAAGGAAACCATTGAACTCAGCAGTGAGTCATGATGGCGGGGCTTGGTCCTCATTGCTGCTGCTGTCATGGGTCAATGGCTCTGAATTATTTTATGAGGCTTCAGAGTCTAGAAATGACACACGCTTAGGGCAGCCCAGATAGCAGAGGGCCTGGGAGGTCATGGTCACAGGCGCCCAGCCCAGGAGAGAAAGGTACCTGTCCTGCTTAGTGGTCTAGGATTTCTAGCATCCAAGACAATTTCTGCAAGACCTGGATAAAGAAAGGAGTCAGAGATTGATACTTGGCTCCTCGCACCCTTGGAGTTTTAGGGGATGGGAATCTGGCCCCTGGGCTGCCTGGGTGTCCTAGTTCTCTAGAGGTGCTACAACACAAATACCATCAGCGAATGGCTCTTCTTTCGCAGAAAAGGAGGCTAGGAGCTCACAGCACCAGCTCTCGGGGAAGGCTCACAGTTTAGGAGGGAAGGTCGTTACCCCTTTCAGCATCTGTGGGCCCTGTGTTCCTTGGAGATCTCATCTCTGTGTGTCTTGGCATCAGTCTTTGCTGGGTCTAGGTGATTCCCAGTGCAGGGACCCTGGGTCCAAAAGATGTGCTCTGCTTCCAGCTCTTTCTTGGTGGTGATAGTAGGTTCCTCTGATCTCTGCTCACTTGTTTCATCTCCTTTATATCTCAAAAGAGATTGACACAAGACACAGCCCAGTCCTCTAGATGGAATCATGCCTCATCAACATAATTGTAACTAATCTTGCCTCAGTAACACTATTAAGTGCTGTCGAGTGGATTTGGACTCATAGCAACTCTGTAGAGGGTTTCCGAGGAGTGGCTGGTAGATTTGCACCGCCGACCTTGTCCAGTGTTTTCCCAACAGTGCCACACCAGTAACATCATAGAGGTTAGCATTTATGGTGGTGTTGTCTAGTGCCGTCACTGGGTAATTCTGTCGGATCACATAAGGGAGAATAAGTGTACAATCATGGTGCATCCACATTGGGCACATTTGGGGGAGGGGGTTATAATTCTGTCCATACCACAGCGTCAGTGGGAACCAGAAGCAGGGACTTGATCCTGGACCCTGTGTTGTCACCAGAACGCTGCTCTTGTGTCCAGAGGAGAGCATCCCAGAATGACAGGCACATCTGTGTGATTGGTCACTGTGTAGTTGGCCGTGCAAGGACGTATGGTGAAGTCATTGGCAGGACCAGCAGACATCCTGGGCCCTTTTCTAAATCCATAAACAAGATTCCATCACCCAGAAAGTCTTGTAACTGTGTGTGTGTAACAGCAGATTGGGTGTCCTCCTAACAGATGTGACACCTCAGTGACAGACAGACAGTCCATTTAAACAACGGGCAGAGGACATGAGCAGACACTTCCGGTGGGCAGCAAGCTCATAAAGAAGTGCTCGTAGTCAGTCATTAACCATTGTTAAGTGCCATTGAGTTGGTTCTGCCTCATAGCGACCCAGTATTGGATTTCCTAGGAGCAGCTGGTAAGTTTGAATCACTGATCTTGCAGTCCGGTGCTTATCCTACAGTGAGGACTCCCACTGTTTGTTGTTTAAGTGCTGTCGAGTCGGTTCTGACCCATAGTGACCATGCATAGGGTTTCCCAGAAGCAGCTGATGAGCTTGAACTGCTGACCAGGATGCCAGGATTTCCATTAGAAAGATGTAAATCAAAACAGAACTGAGCGATCATCTTATCTCAGTATTAACAACGAAGTTCAATTAGACAGAAAACAGTAAATGCTTATGTGAGGGTATGGAGAAACAGGAACTCTTAATACATTTGTTGCTAATGGGATTATAAAATGGTGCAAACACACTGGAAAATGGTATAACACTTCCATAAACACTTGGAAATACCATTGGATCCTGTAATCCGTATCCTAGAGCAGTAAGCCAGGACACCCAAATTCACTGCAGTGTTATAGTCACACAGCAGAGAGATGGAAACAACCTAAGTGTCCCTCTAAGTGGAGAGGACACACTATGGTACATAACACGGCGGCTGACTACAACATTACAAAATAACAGCTCAGCATGGATGTATCTGGAGAGCATTCTGCCAAGTGGAATAAGTCAGTCACAACAGAACAAATAGTGTGTGAGTCCACAGTGATGACGAGTTAAGGAAGGGCTCCTTAAGGAAGGGCTCCGCACAGGAAAAAACTAAAGATAGTTGCCAGGGGTGGGAGAGAAATCACTATCGAGTTAACAACCCCGTGTTAATTTGGGTGCAGGACAAAGCAGCCTACAATACAATACAGGGGTTATCGGCACAGTAAGCAAGTGAAGCCACAGTCTGGCCACTCACTCAGCCTGCAAACTGCTGCAGCTGGAGGGGCCCACTCGACCTCAGTAAGCACCCTCACTGTCCTACCTGGCTCCCAGGTCTGTCAGGTGTGAGGGGCCCACTCAA